CCCCCCCCGAGGAGTCCGAGATCACTGAGGTCCGCCCCCGGACAGGCTGCCAGGAACCGATCCCAAGTGCCAATACGGAGGACGGAGCATCTGCCAGTTTTTGTTCTTTCTGATGTAGTCTGCAGGAATCCCTCCGAAAGCTCCTAACTTCCTAACCTCCTAGCGAGGTGGGTTTGTTTGTTGATCAGCGCTGTTCCTGCAGCAAGAGTGGTGCAAAAGATGACGGCCCACATATCATCAACGGCTTTCAGTTACGACGAAGTAGGAAGTACAGGATACGTTGTACGTTGTACGAAGTAGGAAGTACAGTGCTTGGTACGGCATAATAATATTATGCTTTGACAAAGGAGCGGCAGGCAGCCCCACACTCCAACAAACTCGGTATTATTACTGTACTGCACCTTGACTTGGTACGGAGTATCCGAAGAGAGATGCTCGGTTTGATGGCGATACCAGCTCTCGTACGGGATGTCCCGTGCGAAGTACGAAGTACAGTAGTCCTCCCGTCTTGCGTTCCCAACACCGATGTTTCGGATCGATTTGTGGAAATGAATCGCCCATGGGGTGTCGTAATCCCGCCAGCCATAAATACTCACACCCGCATAGCATGTCTCTGGACACACTGACGGTCGGATACGGAGGTACTGCACTTCGTACCTACGCTGGCAACGCCTCCCCAACGTGGGCTCTATTCTAAGTTGCATGGTGTTTTCTTCGTTAGTCATGTTCCACCCATTGTGCCCCTTTTCCCATCTTGGTTTGTGCGTTACGAGTCCGTGTGTCAATTATCTCATGCTGGCTCTTCTCGTTACCAGGGCAGCGATATGAAGGGTTGAAACGCGGACGAAACTGTAGAGGTTCGTTAGGGCTCCTAATGGACCGGATGTTTGTCCTCATCTAGAGCCGGCCACTCAGAAAGTCGTTCGTCCGCCAACATCCTGCCACCACACAGACCCGCGCGCCACCAAGACGCTGAAGTTTGCTCAGGTTTCTCTCGAGTCTCTCCTCACGATTAACCTCACAAGTCCAGAGTACAAAGTAACCGAGACGGTTATTATGGATACTATACGGAGCACGTAGAACAAGTGTCGTGCATTTCCTGATCGGCGGAACACTAGAACGTCGGTGACAATAGATATTCTTTTGGTTACCTCATTCTCAGGTGCGGCACAGTCTTAGGCGCTTTACACATCTCGTTCTCAACTCAATAGAAGTCTACGCCGACTTTCCATTTCGATTCCTCCTATCTCTCTGCTGCTACCTTCCTAGGTACATCGTCTAACTTCCAATTTCCACCCTGCAGAGCGATCATGTTTGCGAGCCTTTCAGTGTTCCGCGTGCAGTTTGTGATGTGAAGCGCCTATGGTTCCATGACACATCCTGGGTTTTGATGGTTCTAGATGTTAAAGTTTGGCGGGAATGGATCCTAAACAAGTGTCAAACTCGGCTCCTTTCCCGTAGGCAGCGTCGTGTTCAACTCGATTGCTACCCATCGGTCGATTTTTGAGAGCTTTCAACTGGTTCCATCTCCTGCACTTGCTATTTCAGTCGAGATGGAGAAGCTCAACTGCATAGCCTAAATACGAACCGTTCAGAGGTCTTGCGTGGAAGGTGCGAACCGTGCCCGCGGACGGCTGCAAGGCTCTATTTCTCAGCCTCGGGGTGTTCGTCTTGCGCTCTTCGAGGATGGTTAGCTACCTAGGTACTTTTCACTTGTTCGTCTTATTTCAACGGACTACCAACCAATGCCGACTTCAACGAGGGCTTTGAGCGCGAAAAGCGACTTAAGCATCACTATAACGACCGAATAGCTACAATTTGTCAAGCCAACATGTATCATTCCGCTCTTGAATAGTCTCTCTCCCCACACTCTCAAGACACCATGATGCACACCAAGTATGGTCGATGTAACCTGAACGGCAGCCATGCAAGCTACCGGGAACTAGCCGGAACAAACATGAGGCCTACTTGGATCCCCCCACGTTGGACTTTTGGTAGACGTTTACAAATCTAAAACTAATCGTGATGGTCTAGCTAGGTATCGACGGCGTATTTCGTACAGCTGACAGCAAAGATACGGTTCTCTTCGACTATCTGACAGGCGCGGCAAATGTCCAAGCGTTCGGCTCTTTCGGCGCTCGGATCTTTATTTTGACATAATACCGTTGCCGGCGCGGGGCAGAATCAAGCACAGTCCATCCGTCATCAACTCGATGTATCAGCGCTGACCTATCCCCTGCGGACGAGGTATTCCACGTACTCTGCGCTGAACTGCAAAGTATAGGAGAGCCGCCTTGGTGTTGTCGTTGGCAGAAAAGGCTGATCTCTCCACGTCCCATTCGAAGCTCGTTCGCAGCATCTCATGATCGACACTACACACAGCGGCAGCGGCAGCTGCAGCAGAAGCATTCAAGCAGCTGTGGGCCGGAATCATCGAGGTATCATGGCCATAGTGGCATACTGGCATACTGACATAAGGTACCTACTGTACGCTCCCCACATACCCAAAGAGTGAGGGACCTGGTTGAGCTCACGATGGGGTCTTCTTTGCAACAGTTCATGCGGTCTCAAAGCATGCTCTGCAATGCTACTGCACACTCCATACCTCCATACGGCATCTGGTCGCCGTTCAGAAGAAACCCGGGTAGGGAGGATATGCGTGTGCACAGGCGCTGCACAAATCCTGGATTAAGAAACATGCCCTGGACGACCATCGGCGTTTCTGGCAACCATGCCGCGATCCCTCGAGCATGCTTCTGCAAGCGGGTGGCAGCCAGTCCGGAAGCAGCCTCTCAGGGTTTTCCTGTTTCCAGGGCCCCGGCCCGCGTGTGACATCCAACACCACTATCGCGCATCCAGAAGACCGGGGAAGAGGGAAGGGGACCTGGCCCTGCTGATGTCGATCAGGGATATGACTAGCATCAGGGGGAGCCGTCTGCCCTGTGGCGGCTGCAGCTCCATGGGCCATGGTCAGGGCCTGGCTAAACAGCTTAGACTTAAGCCTCTGTGCGAAACACTTATCACAGCGTAGTATACCAAGGTACTTGTTCTTATCGCGGTTTTCCTCTCCGCTGCCGGCCCGGCTGGGGACAATGGGGACAATGGTGAGGGAGCTTCTTGGTGCACTTTGTATAGTTATTCAAGTATGATTAACGCAGGCGCCAGGATCCAAGCACGGTACTTCGGAGTACGTACCTCTTGTATCTACTGCGTATTTGCGTACTGTACAGTGACGGCAGATGCGCACCCTCCCCCTCCCCCCCACCTACTCGATATCGATATCGATATAGGAAGCCTACGATGCTACTTACTACGTAGTACGGGGCCTGAAGCGATGAGTCCTACCGCAAACTTCGCCGCTCGCCTCGCCGGTTGCTGGCCCGGATGTTTCTTCGTACCACTGAGATACCCAAGCACGGTGCTTCGTAGGCTTCGTAGGCTTCGTTTCCCAGCTCCAAATCGTCCGCGTACATACAAAGTACTCCGTAGATAGTAGATGAAGGATTTGGGTGTGGAGACAAGCATCATCACATCATATTAATCAATATCGAGTATCACATCTCATCACATCGCATCATCGGTTTTGAAGCGAAATATTTGTGGGCTATGGGGAAAGCACTTAGGGTGGGGAATCTCGAATCCTCAAGGTTTACTTTTCCCGGCAGCGTTATTTTCCTTCTCCACCGTACAGTCTATGGCAAAATCCAAAGAGCTTCCCATATTGAAACAGGTCAGCTTCTATTCGGCCGTCTATGCCTTTTTCTATCGAATCTCCGCCCAGGAAGATCCGCCCGGAAGTCCCTTCGGCAGTGGCAATCAAGGCAAGGAATATCTTGGATCTTAGTCTAGATGCCGATCGAACTATGGGTCAGATGTGCCGGCTTCCATGCCATGGCAAAAGCTCTTCCTTCCTCTGCCTTTGCGTCTTTTGCTCTGCGATTAACAGCTTCGGCCTGTTCCAACTAAGAGCGCTACGTATAGAGTTCTTGGACCAAGTGCGCTCTGGTTAATGGAAGGGTAAATCGGATTGTGATGAGCCTTTCTTTGATTGATACTTTCCGGCCTGAGACTCACCAAACAGTTACCGCGACTATATCGATTTCGGAAGATTGTTTGGCCCTAACTTTCGTGCCAGCCAACCGCGTTGATATCTGAGACAAACCAGAACGTCCAACGGGCCCTCGAGCACATCGTGAACACATCTGCCAAGCCGGTCACACAGCTGCCGCATCGTCTCGGAGAATTTCAAAAAAGCCCCTCTCCTTCGCATTTCAATTTTCCTGTCGTTCGTTTCTCATGAGGGGCCTACCAGACCTCAGGTTCCAGCACGAGTAGTGCCCCACCACGCCCCGCCCCCTTTGCCATACTTCAACAAAACCTTGAATCTGCATGCCGGGCTCGATCCTGTGCCGGTGTGTGGACGCTGTTGATTATCTATCCTTTCATAGCACGCGGCCTGGAGACACCTGTCGAGATGTGCAATAGCATGCAATCCAATATACCAACAGCTTGTTGGGCCGCGCGAACTTGCAGGTGGAAAGTCATAAGACCTTTTGCGCCGTGGGTAGATCTAGATATCTAGGCGCTGCAGGGCATTGTTCGTGATCGCACGCAGAGCCAGCGCCCCAGAGGTGGCGGAGTTGAAACTGCTCGTTGGAACCAAGTGTCTGAGAAAATAGGGGGCGAACCAACCCCTATTTCAACGATTCGGCTAGTGCTGATTTCTCTCGACCTTCGATCTGTCCGAAGTTCGGATAGAAACTCTCCCGAAAACTTCCCGACCATTTAGCAGGTCACGAGAAGACCAACTGTGCCAATGAACGAGCCAAACCCTCCGACTGCAGCCAGATGCAACGCACAAGCAGGCCGGATTTTAGTTAAAGGGCTGGAGACTCGGGGATGGGACAGCAGCGGCGCGGGCCTGGGGCTGCTGGGCCCGCAGGCCGACAGCAGAAGCCTGAGCCTGCGTCTGCGTCTGCGTCTCCGTCTGCCCGCTCGAACGATTCTACGCATTTGAACGAACGGTTCCAACTTCCCAGTCCTTCGAGTCTGCAAGTCTGTTGTAGGTCTGCAACTCTGCGACGAACGACGATCCACATCTTCCCATCGATCCCCAGAGCCATACTACATACGCACTCCGCAGCCATGTACAGTACATGTAGCAATGTACATGTACTGTACATATCCTGCGTCCATTGCCATTTCCGGCTTGCTCTCCTTATCTACACCTGGGCTCTTGCAGAATACGCTGCCTAGCTCTTGATCTCTTTGATCCATACTCCAGCGAACTGTGCACTGCTTTGGGACTTGGAGAGCCCTGGCTTGCAGACACCGTGCTTCTTCGTAGATATATACGGGCGGGATGGGGAAAGCCTCCACATTACTGTGCATCACTCAGCACTCAGCGCTCACTCACACAACTCCAGACGATGCAAAGAGAAGCGGATGGAACGGGGTACGTGCTGCCTTGCATTGCAGTTTGCAGAGCGCCCACAGGTGACTTGCGGGCCATTCTCACGAACTCTCCATCGACTCAACTCTGGATGCGATCTTGCTTGCGTGCCCAATCCCAATCGTGGAATTGGCTGGGACAATGTATCTCCCAAGTACTTGGTAACAGGTTGGTCGAGCCTATTTCCATCGCCATTGGGCCATGATGTAATAGTTGACGTTCATTATGTTTGGAATAGAAAACGGGAACGGGAACGGCGGCGGGGACTATGGGCCTCTCTATCCGTGTCTTACATTCCCATATCAAAACTCAATGCACACTATTTATTGGGTGCATTTTTTCCATCTGGGATTTTCCATTGGCTGAGGCCTCGCCCTATTCCGACTTTTCCCAGTTGCTCTCCTGTGTTGAATAGAAATATTGAGTGGCGGTGAGTGGCGGTGAATGGCTTCCCAGTTGGAGGTATATCAGATCCTGGGGGGTATAACAGACCCTTGGGCGCGGAACAACGTTTTCTCGAGGCCTCACTCCGTCTGCAGCCGGGCACGAACAGAACACGTCGAAGTTTGGTAACGAGGGGATTTCTATATTGGCCTTTTGTTCACCGCCACGAGCTTCTTCAATCAGAACTTCATATTCTGCAGCTTTGCCCCTCCTGCTCTTGCGACTTGAGCTCGTTCTCCAGGCTACGAGCTTGCGCTCTCTCCCACCCCCCCCGCGTTTCGCCCTCTTCTAGCGGTGCGTGCATTTATGAGACGGCCTTTTGTATCCTTTGAAGGAAGGATATTCAGAAACTGAACCACCGTCCAAGGCCGCGGCGGCGAATGGCAAGCCTCGAGGATGCTGCCACGGACGGCAGAGTAGCATGTAGCAGCGCCGACGGGCCTGCGCGTACGTAGTTCACGGATGTATGTATGCCATTTGTATGGATTTCGTACATACAATACTTCCATAGCGTACATTATTCTGCAACACGCAACACGCAACACGCAACGTGCTTTGCAGCACGCCCTCCGCCACGCACCAACCAGACCACGAATATACCACGAACAGACTCTCTAGCTTAGGTACCTAGGTATTGTACCATTACGCACACGCCGCGCCGCGCAGCACATACCCGCCCTATGTAAGTACCTGTACTGTACTTTCTTACTACTCCTCGGACACGGCACGGCTGATATTCGCTCTCCTGCCACCGCCACCACTCACATGTAATGTGTCTGCCCGGATCACCCTCTGCTCTTCTGTTTCCACGTTGGTGCTAGGTTTCCCCGCATTCGTCTCTGAAGCGCAGAGCTTGCTGGGCTACTTGGCGTTTGGGAATAGTGGCGTGTCCAGCTGTGGTCTCCTCGCAAGTGGTGCTTCCGAGGTTTCCTCTTTGAGCAATATGGATGAGCTGCTTCCTACGTCTCTGCTACTGGAGGCACAGTATGTATGTTGATATGGCGATGTATGTACTGGGTAGGATGGTCTTCTGACACGGTGTTGACAACTGGCGAATATGCATATAAAAGGGGGAAGGGTCAAGTGATGTTGACAAGTTTTCTCGCCCTTTCTTGATTTCCTCGATTCTTGATTTCTCTCGCTTGGCGAGGGCGAAGATGAGTCCGTGGCATCCGGTGCCTTCTTTGGTGAGACTTTGGCGAGTTGAAAGCTGTCACGGGTTTACTTACCCCTTTTATTTGCATTGCTGAGTAATCCTGTTGCGTGACTGGCTTTCAGAAGGAGGGAATGGGAGAGAGAATTTGAATTATGACTTATGATTTTCGTATTCTGCTGTCAATATGTTTTTTACTCGATCGTTGCTGGTGCTAGTAGCGCTATCATTACACTCTTGAATTGATCCTCTTGAGTTGTTTTCCTGTATATTCAGTCCAGACTCTGGTGGCTTCCAATTTGCGGAGATATGTGTTTCAGGAAACAGGTACCTCTGCCATATCTGCCCGACTTACTCAGGTACGTGCCTCGTTTTTTTCTCCGTCTCGTTAAGTTTCACTTCACGTCTTACGTGCTAC